ATCAACAGGTCATTCAAAGGATCCTGTGTAAACTGACACCTTTCACACCAATGAGTGACTAAGGTGGGTTTTTTAAGGAATACGAAAGTGTACATATGTTATACTTAGCTGTACATAACCACCACATACATAAAAAAACCCATTTTAAGTGACTTGCATAAGGTATTTGCTCACACAAGACATAGTGAGTGAATAAGTAAATATTGCATAAAGGTACGTCAGCAGTATCACATGCATTTCCGGCTAATGTTGTAACAATATTTGATGAAATGGTTATTTATGTATGATTATATCAAAAGTGTGATACTTATCATTCAGTATGTAATGCCTACTGGTGGAACTACGGAAACATAAACGACTCACTCTACTAAAATACATTTTGTATGTAGAATATATATGTGTATAATATATAGTCAAGGAAGAGACAGATGCGTGACAACTAAATATGTGATCACACACGAAACAAGACCACCCTTTCCGTTGGATTACGATTGTTGTAACTGTACATGCTATGGGAAGATTGACAAACCATTTGATCAAAACATTGGGAGTGAAACTTGATTTTAGAAACTGTTGCAATGTACGTCTAATTGTCTATGCTCTCAAGGTATGACCCTGTACATACAACACCATATATCACTTATACTGACACACGTTGAATGTACATTGTAGGTAGTGTATGCATGGTTCATGATAAAAGCACATTACCTCCTCGTATACTCATGATATAGTCAGAATTGTACAATCAACTCTGCTTTTTGCAGGACCCGTGAAGGTCCAGGCTAGAATGAACCTTCAGTAACCTATGCTTGTCGTAAGAGGCGACCAACGGGATCGGGTGGTCAGGCTCGCTGACTTGTTTGACACTAGAACTGTGTATCGTGGCCTAAGTGGAGAGACGATATATCCCAATACCAGTTTAATGAGGCGAGACTATATATCATTAAAGTATTGGTAAGGAACCTGCGACACGATCATCATCACGATACAATGGTGGCGATACGATACGTATCTCGATACTTTACAATTTCTAATAACAGAACAGGTATGATAGATAAAATGACCAAAACTTTATTTGTTATACAGCAGAACTTGTGTTACATTCACACACACTTAAGAAGCTGTTAATCTGATAAAATTTCAGCATTGAATGGTTAAGAAAGTACAGTCAAACATATTCAGTATACCTTGATCTGCTATAAGTATTTTCTGAAATTGAAGTTTCCTTTGAGAAGTTATATTTCCACACCAATGCTTTCACAAACAATTCAATGTAATTTATATCAGAATTCAAAATCACTGAAAAAAGCCCCTCTTAAGTCTGCTTTCTAATTTTAATCTTATTTTGTTCTCTATCTTAAAAAAAGCTTTGTCATCATTCATAGTTGTCAATAAATGGTGTTATTTGTCAGACAATTAAAACAAGATGAATATTCTACAGTTCACAGAGTTTGAAAAATGTTCACACTTTTTCACTTATACACCAACTCCTTTGTTCATGTAACAAAGATAACAGACACAAACAAATTCCTATTTTAGTTTTCTTAGTAAATTATGCAAGTAGTATCGAGATATATCATCTCTTGTGGCTATACAGCGATGTATCATGGACCCTCGCGACATAAATATCCTGATATACTGTATTGCCTAAATATCATTTGTATCGATGCACTCGTATCGCGTAGTTGACGATGCACACATCGATACTAATGATGAATCGTTACACCACTAGCTGACACTTGTCATCGGTTTTCAATTACGCAGATCGATACTCATACTGTTGATCACTGGATTGTTTTGTCCAGACTTGATTATTTACAGACCGCCGCCACATAGCTGGAATATTGCTGAGTGCGACGTAAAACTAAACTCACTCACTCACTTTTGCAGACATTTGTTATCGATGTTGAAAGGATTTTGTCACTTCTATTTAAGACTCCAGGGGCGGTTGGGTAGCCTAATGGTGAAGGCGTTCTCTCGTCATGCTGAAGACCCGTGTTCGATTCTCCACATGGGTGCAATGTGTGAAGCCCATTTCTAATGTGATATTACTGGAATATTGCTAAAAGAGGCGTGAAACTAAATTCACTCACCTTATGACTCCATTTCAATGCATGATAAACTAACTCGTTCTATTGAAGTGTGGGTCATGGAGCACCGGGCATGTTACCCTGTCACTATAAGTGTCCTTGACAGGTTTATATTATCATCATTAGTTTATAGCCATGCGTTGTGTGGTGTATCGGACCATTTAATTCCGACAGAACTAGATTATTGGGTTTCTCTTGATAAAGGTTTTTGAACTTCATGCAACATTAAACGTATTTCAAACTTAGGATTATTGAACAAGTTCATCTGTCCGCTATAACTTTCACCACACATGTTGTGTTAATGAGGATTGTAAATTGATTTTTCATTTAGACGAAGCAAGGTTTAATTACATTGCTCTCCATTCGAGGGCCGTACTGGTCCTGACAGGCCACTCAAAGTCCCACATCCATGTCCGCTCTGGTCCACACAGGCCAAACAGGAGCTCCCCCTCACGGGCCATGTATGAACATGCAACTTATTTATTTTTTTAGTAGCTTAATAGTATAATCACCAAAGTGTTGTTTTGTGTATTTTGGTTGGAGAGATCGGTGGTAATATATGCCAGGTGTGTAAGTAGGTGTGATCGTATATGATAAATGTGTTGTGGGTGGAGGGTGATTTGTAGTGTCAGAAGTGAACTGATGTGATTGTGTGATGAATGTGTTCTGAGTGGTGGCTGATTTGTAGTGTCAGAAGTGAACTGATGTGATTGTGTGATGAATGTGTTGTGAGTGGAGGGTGATTTGTAGTGTCAGAAGTGAACTGATGTGATTGTGTGATGAATGTGTTGTGAGTGGAGGATGATTTGTAGTGTCAGAAGTGAACTGATGTGATTGTGTGATGAATGTGTTGTGAGTGGTGGATGATTTGTAGTGTCAGAAGTGAACTGATGTGATTGTGTGATGAATGTGTTGTGAGTGGAGGATGATTTGTAGTGTCAGAAGTGAACTGATGTGATTGTGTGATGAATGTGTTATGAGTGGAGGATGATTTGTAGTGTCAGAAGTGAACTGATGTGATTGTGTGATGAATGTGTTGTGAGTGGTGGATGATTTAGAAGTGAACTGATGTGATTGTTGATGAATGTGTGAATGTGTTGTGAGTGGAGGATGATTTGTAGTGTCAGAAGTGAACTGATGTGATTGTGTGATGAATGTGTTGTGAGTGCTGGGTGATTTGTAGTGTCAGAAATGAACTGATGAGATTGTGTGATGAATGTGTTGTGAGTGGTGGGTGATTTGTAGTGTCAGAAGTGAACTGATGCGATTGTGTGATAAATTAAAATAGAAATCAGGATACATGTATGAGGTTTAAGATGTGTTTGAGAGCCCGGACCAAGTCGGGCCGAACAGAGACTTAACACTTTTGATTGAGGCTATGTTGAAAAATGAGACAAGGGCTTCACTTTAACGGAGCAGTTATCTTTACATATTGCATTTTATAACATTACAAAGCGACATTTAGGTAGATATAATACTAATCTATGGATTTAAACACAATTCAAGATACGTGTGTTACGTGTAAGTTGCTTTTGACGGCTCGAGCTGGGCCGGGCCGGACCGAACAATTGTGGCCGAGATAATGTTGAGAGTGTGGGGAAGAGATCGTATCATTTAAGGCGGGCATGCTTTAAATACGATGAATAGTGAATTTATGGGGTGGTATGTGATTGGACATAGATGGGCCGAGGGAAATGTGTATCGGAATTGACTGAAGTATTTATACGTTTTAAATCCTGTTTCGTTTAACGATTTCACTTTTAGACGTAACTTTGGTCAGCCAATTCACAGGCTTCTCGTCTCCTTGAGTTTTAGTTGATTTACACGTAATAAGGTTATTGTGGTACGGTTTATGGCTTATGGCTTCCGACTGATCATTATTATCATGGGTGTATGTTGCATTAATTAATTGTAGGCATGGTTTTCGTTAATGGGTTTATTAGCCAATAATAGATTTGGCCCGCCTTAGCCGGCCCGGCCCGACGTTTAGGCCATCCCACCGTCTACGTTAAAATAAATCGAAATTACACTTTCGAGATTTATCAGTGTTGCCTATATAATTAATTAGACACCTAAAAAGCAAATGCAAACTAACTTGCATTTCGATGAAAAACTAATTAGTCACTTATTCTGCACAAGTTTTAAAGCATCATAATGACTTATTAAGGTGGACAGCATCTCTGTAGTTTTTCTGCGAAGTAATCTAAAACGACATATGAATGGTGCTTGTGCAATGTTTCTCCGGGGGAAACACGTGATCACCCAACGCACACGATAATTGTTCACGACACGTCTGACCCCATCAGACTTACCCGCTCACGACTGTGCGCACACCAGAAATGAATAACATTGATATAATTTATCATTCGGACAGCGAGTGAAGTTTGAAAATTTCAGAAAATATATGACTATTTGGCACTCTTATTTTAAATCAATTTTCTGCCGAAATCGTTTACAATTATTTAGGCAAATATTTGAAACGCTAAAAGATAAGTGAGGTTGTCACTGTCGGTATAAATTTACAAATTCTATTTCCAAAATTTTCAAAAAAGCATTTTTCTGGTGTTAGCCTATTGCGACACGGAGCTTTAACATTTATTTTGACGAAGTGGGAGATTGAAGTGCTCTTAATGAAAGTTTCCTCCTGTTTATAAGGTATGCGTTTGACCAGAATGTGTACTTGTAATATCCCTCGCCTACATTCATCCTTGTCTCCGACACGAGGCTGCGCATCGCCGCTGTCTTTGATCTTTGAACATCATGTGTTACATTGTTGCTGTTTTCACGTGCATTATTCGCGCGTACGCGGATCGTATTTCATTGGTTGATTGAAAAATAGTCAATCAAAATGTTTATGGTATAAATAGGAAATAAGACGAATTAGACTTTCATTCAAGCAAAAATTATTACCTTGATATTGTGTGCGTTGGTTGGAGTAGCTTCGACCACTGAGATTAACAACTCGTGTCATATAAGACACCATGTCTTGACCTGTCGTCCTGACGAAGGAGACACACTGACTCACGTCAGCGGACAGCCTTTACCCGACTGTAACAGTCATTGTTGTCCACGGTCGCGATGACCGTATCGTAGTTGATGCAACACTGTTCTCCTCATTACAAGTAGGTATTCAAATTCACTGATTAATCTTATCATAAGCGCATCCTGTAGCAAGCAAGTGTTTTGATGATGATAACACTCACATATGTAAACTTATCTTGCAGCTCATCAGAGGAGGTGCAGCTAGCTGTCAGAACATTATCAACCTTGATAATGATAACTCCTGCTTTGGTCACTTTTAATCATATCGGTTACTGTTTTTCTGTAGTATAATATTTTTACAAACACCGTCTGAAAACATTTTGTTTTACCGCTGACCTCTTTCAAACAAACACGTACCCCTCTCGTTGCATGTTATGTGAAAATATTCAACGACATTTATAGCGTTTTCGTTCATGTTTAAAGTAAAGATGATGCTTTTGCATCCATATAAAAATCCTTCAAGAGGGATACGAGTCACTGTGTGGTTTTGGGGAATAACATGGTTTAACAATATTTTTCGTTTTCTCTACTAAATTCACTTGCAGTTTTTCTCGCTGATAGTTGTGATCACACGCGCGCAGCATGCATGTGCTTGTGTATATATTACTTCCGTTTATTTTGTTCAATTTTCAGCTGGCACAACTACATCTTCAAATATAACTCTGGACACTCCTACTTACCTCGCTAATGCCACCACCCGTATAACCTCTACCAGTACGAACAGCCCTGACAGTGCTACTCCTACTCCAAGAAATGCACCTATAACTCTTATAACATACCCTACCTCTACTAATACAAATCGACACACAAGGGCTACTTCCACAAATGCTTATTTTAATCACTGCTCATCTAAAACAAACAAGTCACAATTTAATTCTGGACTCACAAAAGTCCAGAAACTCTCCTCACTGTGGGCACTTTCTGACAAGGGATTTGACCAAATTAAACATGCAGTTGTTATGAATATATGCCAAGGATGAAAAAATGAAGAAAAAAGTTTCGAAATCTTTAAATTTAAACTGGCCCATGGGCGAGAATGTTTACGTTTGCTCAGAATTCATGTTTTGGAAGTTGAAAATGATTGAGTGTATATTTATAAGCATCATGACACAAATTTCAACTCATTTTGACTTAATTCGACTAACTTAGAACGATATTAAAAAAATCTCGCCCATGGGCGAGAATGTTTACTTTTACTCAAAATACATGTTTTTCCCACATTCACACGATCACTCAACCATACCCATTGCCGGTTGAGCCACACCATTTTCTACTCTTGTTTTCTTAAAAGTGGCTTTCCCGGGCTATAACTATCAGCACACCCCAATACGACCATCTGTCATTAATTACCTGTCATGAGCTATCAGTTGTATTGAAAGCTCTCGCCTATTGTTTCATTACTTAATTGTTTCACGGATAGGTATGTAGTCACTCCAAATTCACCATATGTGCGTGACTGTCCTCTCCGACGTCCGCGCCCACCTCTCAACCTAGCAATCGCGATCCACTTTCTGCTCACTATCTAGACATCTATAACTTCACCTCTCTCTCCAACCACCTGCGGTCACATTCATTCATTTCATTCATTGTTCGTTGAGCGTCCTTGGAGCTGGTCGCTGTTAAGCAAGCCGCAGCATCGAGGGAACAAAACAACAAACTGACCCTGGCGTCGCCATCTTGTCAAACAATAAAGCAAAGGACAATCAAGTCAAAGTCTCGGCAGGGCGCCTAGCCACCGGCACTCCGGGCTCTTGCCCCACCAAAAAACTGCAAGTACTACTTGCTCTCCTGTACATATCTCCATCTTAATCAATCTAAATCCAAAACTGTAAATACCATAAATCATCATAAATTGTTTTGTAAATATTTCCTGTTCATTTTCTCAACCTTATATGCTCTTATTGTTCATTTTGTATATATTGCATGCACCACAACCCCCACCTACTGTCCCCTCAACTCTCAAATCTTCTTTCTCTCAGTACACTCAAACACACACTCATCGACGGCAACACAATAAAATGGGAATACCCACGGTGACAGACACAATCACAAGGAGTAATACATATAGATAACAGGGAAACACCAGCAGACATACAGGAATACATCCACATAGCCAACAACATCAGCACCCAACCCAAAATCATTGACTATAAAACTATCAACACAAAACAGCCATCCGCAACCAAACCAAACACCCAAATCACCTTCCTCACATTCCAATCCACTACATTACCTAACTTCATCACATTCGGAGCACTCAACTACAAAGTACACCCACTACGCAAAAACCCCACACAATGCAAAAACTGTTTCCAATATAACCACACTACAGAAAACTGCAGAAACTACTCATTATGCCCAAGGTGTGGGTCAGACATGCACGACATAACAGAATGTACACTCGCCACATACTGCATACGCTGCGAATAACATGGACACTCAGCAAACCAAAATACATGCCCCATAAAACAGACACAAATACTTAAACTAAACAAGCACCTCAAACACACTGACCTACCCAAACCAGCAACTTACAACATAAAACAAATTACTCTCTCCTCTCGTTATCATCCTCTACCCCCTCAAACATCTCTTCCTCCTCCAACACCTCCTACCTACCCCCCACTCGCCCCACCAAATCCCATAAATCCCGCCAACCTCCATCCCTACCTCACTCCCAAGCCCCTTCCCCTCCCCAAACCAACCAAACCCAACTCCCAACCCAATCCCAAATACCCACCCCAAAACTCCCAACCCACTAAAAAACCACTACTTCCAGTCCCCAACCCCACCCCACCCCACCCACCCAAACAACCCCGCTCCAAAACTGCACACCCCCAACAACATCCTCCACCCCACCCCCATCCCCCTACACAAACCCTCATTCACTGCATCACCAAAACCCCGCTCACTCAAACCTAAAAATCCACTACACCTGCCCCTCAAATAAACTTTACACTCACCCCACAAAAAATCAACCACAACCTCAACCTCATCATAGAATTCATCACAGCAGCAATACTCATGCAAAACCCAACAGCCAAACAACTACACAACATTGCACGCAAAAACAAAATATATCACAAAAGTCTAGCCAGCCTCATCATCGCAGTAAAATCCTTCTCTTAAACAACTCACCACTAAAGCTACTCTAGCAACTAAACCGCTCAATCAAAATTTCTGCCCCACCCATGGCTTTTTATAAAATTCTCTTCCAAATTACTGCAGTCATGGCTCTGATGTAATGGAACTGTAACGGCCTTCGAGCAACCGGGCATGAGCTTAAGGCACTTATCGCCCAAAACAAAATTTCGCCCCAAATAATCTTCCTCCAAGAGACAAAATTATCCCCAAAATTCGCCTTCAAAATCCCAGGCTACAATTATATCAGGAAAGACAGACCTCGGCCAATAAACCTCCCAGGCCCCCCCCAGCTGGGGGCCTGGGGATATTTTTCTCAAACAAATTAAACTATTCAGAAATTGATATTCCAACCACTAACCTAGAAGTCCTGGCTATAAAAACTACAATTAATAATAAATGATTAACTTTTATAAATATCTACAGAAGACCCTCCATTAAACTTATACCCCAAGATTTAGACAGCATAGCAAAATTCTTAACGCCCAACACCTTTATCCTCGGAGACCTAAACTCTCACCATCCATTATGGGGCACAAAACCCTATACTGACAACAACGGCGTCCTCCTATCTAACTGGCTAGACGACCAAAACCTCATTACACTAAACGACAACCAACCTACCAGATACCCTCTCTCCCACGTCCAATCACCTACAGCAATCGACTTAACAATCACCACCCCTACATTTTCAACATCTTGCCTATGGGAGGTACACTCAGACACCTGGGACAGTGACCACTGCCCCATCAAAATTACCATATCTACATTACTTGCACCAGAACCACAAACAAATCCTAATACTACCCCCACCCCCCAGCACAGAAATCAAATACAATGTACACAAAGCGGACTGGAATAAATTCACTAAACTATGCAAACAAGTAGACCCATCCAACATTATTAACACCGACACAGAAACCTTTAACACACAGCTTACCAACACCATTACTGACATAACAAATACATGCATACCCACCTTTCGGACCACCCAAGCACGGAAAACAGTCCCATGGTGGAGCCCCGATATTATCAATGCCAGAAAGGCACGAACAAAGGCCCTCAATAAATCAAAGAGGGACCGTTCAAAATTACATTTGGCCAAAAACTCAGAAACGATACAAAACAACTAATCATGGCAGCAAAAAAGGAACACGGGAAAAAATTCTGCTCAACCCTGAGGCTAAACCAACACAACTCCAGGAAATTGTGGAAAAAATTTAAAGCTATTCAGGGAAATTCCAAAACTATAATTCAACCAAATCTCCGAACCTCCCCACAAATAAAGAAAAAGCTAATACAGTTGCTGCCCACTTTTCGAACACTAGTAGCTCCACCAACTGCACAACAAATTTACAAAATATCATTAAAAACCAACCACCCTTCTCACCTGAACCACCCCACTCACACCTACCCATAAACAAAAACATAAATATACACGAACTCAAAGCAGCTCTTAAACATAAAAAAACAGTCTCAGCCCCTGGTCCAGACAACATCACATACACCATACTTAACAAACTACCACCAAATATGCTCAACTTAACACTTACACTATTTAACCAAATCTAGACCACAGGAAACATACCATCTTCTTGGAAAACAGCTAAGGTGGTGCCAATCCTAAAGCCAGGGAAACCCATTAACTCCCCAGATTCATTTCGACCTATATCACTCACCTCACATTTATGTAAAACACTTGAGTCTATAGATAACAATAGACTAAAACATCAAATCCAAACCCGTAAGGACCAGAGTGGCTTCACTCCAAATAGGCAAACTTTAGATCACATTTTATATTTGGAGCCTGATATAAAGGTAGCCCAAGCACTAAAACAATACACGCTGGCCATTTTTATCGACTTTAGCAAAGCT